TCTCTCTCTCACACACACACACACACACACACACACATACACACACACACACACCACACCACTCCACACTCATGCACACACAAACACTCATTGTAGTTGAAACAGTAGGCCCATTGCCGCTAGATCTATAGATAAAGAAAAAAAGAATTTTAAAAGAAAAAAAAAGAAGAAAATTTTAATGTTAGTGCTCAGACAGTCGTATAAGTTTGTTTAGTGTTTTACATGGAGACACATAATCTCCGTACACACAAGTCATGGAGGATATCGATTTTTAGTCGGACTATGCGTGGCCATGAAAAGTTAAACGCAATCAAAATGTTAATGTTTTATGGAGGTGGGGCAAATGAGTTATACACAGGTCTCCAAAACCAAATCTATAACTACTTCTGGAGGCAAAGGCAGAAAACAGCAAACCAGAAGTAATTCACAATTTGTAAAGAAGTCGTCCACAAAAAAGTTATCAAGCATTTTCAGATGTTGTGCCTTGGCCTATAATACATTTATTTACTTTATAAAATCCCACCCCAGGTCAACTTACCGCGTGCATCGTGCCGTGATTGTAGTGAAAAAAATTACGTCATGTTTTTTTTCACCCGCCCCTTTTGCGACACAGCGAAGTTTTTTGTGCTACTTCCCGAGATGAAAATTTTAACCGTTTCATTTGATAATGTAGGCAATGTCACTGGAGTTTGTTTTACATCCTGAAACATGCAGGCTGTCTACAATGGCCTACATAATCTCCCTTCGGCAGACATACCAAATAAGATCTATATCTGAGCGAGTCATCCGAGGTACATGTATCACGCTCAGGGGTCTAAAAGTCATGGTAGCTCGCGGCTTTATTGTTTGTACAGCCTAGTTACGTAACGTGGACTATTGATCTACAGCAGCTGCAAGGGGTGGGTAGGCTCATTGGGACGCTTGCAACCTCAGAGAGGGGAGGGGATTGATAATGCAGTGTCAGAAACTCTGTAAGCTCTATCGTTATTTCTATAGACAAGGTGAACAACTGAATCATTACGATTTGATTGTTTGGTAATGTTTGTCTGTCTGTCTGTCTGTCTCTCTCTCTCTCTCTGT